GGACTACTGCAGACATCGCAAAATCTTCCGGGCTATAAAAATAAAACACACGAGTGATGCTTTTGCTGTTCTCGAAGACAACAGGTACGAGAGACGGACATTTAAATGGGCGTAAAGGGGAGTGAGAGTGGTAGTGCGCGTATGTATGTGTGTGTGCGAGAGAGAGAGAGAGAGAGAGAGAGAGAGAGAGAGAAAGAGAAAGAGAAAGAGAGAGAAAAAGAAAGAAAGATTTGGGATTAAGGAGAGAAAATTCTCCAAATAAAGTAAACAGTATGAGTGGGGACATGATATATATGAGTGAGAGAAGGGGTAAAGTCCTGGAGGAGAGTAGAGAAAGCAAAGGAGAGTAAGTGAGAGAGAGAAGTATATATATATATATATATATATATATATATATATATATATATATATATAGATAGATAGATAGATAGATAGATAGATAGATAATGTTATATATCGTACTATGAACACTAATGGGTATGTCCCAATCCTCATAAATACATTGGACACTATTGTAAGTGGGGGGGTAATATGGTGTCTAAGTAGTCCTCCATTACCAGTGGTTTATCTACTTCACGCCGCTGGCGAGTATTGCATTTTGTTGATGTAAAGATTATCATTTCATTTCCAAATATATGTGTGTGTATTTATGTGTATATGTGTGGATGGGAGTGTACTTATATATGTGTATACGTGGATGTGTCGATAGAGATATTTATACATGATTATATATTTGTATATGTGGATGTATGTTCGTATGTCCTAGTATATGTATATGTATGTATATATTAGTGTCTTGGAATATATCACTGATACTAACTAAAATCTACTTTTGTTTGATAGGGATTTTTTAATTGCTCATAGACTTAATCAACAACTGTGTGTGGTTACTTTTTAAAAATTATTATGAACTTTTAATATATTTTATCGTCAATAAGATTACGTTGTTAGAATATATGTAGGTTTCTGTATATATATTCCCGTTTTTATGTGTATATGTATATATGTATATATGTGTATGTGTGTGTATGTATATATGTATATATGTGTATATGTGTGTGTGTATATATATATATATATATGAAGAAATATAGTTTTAAGGTGTGCTATATTTATGGGATAAAATGCTCAATATCAGAGATAGAGCGTGTGTAAATATATATATATATATATATATATATATATATATATATATGTATGTATGTATGGATGTGTTTGTGCGTATATATGTCTATATAGGTGAATTTACGTTTGTATGGTTTTCTTTTTTTATGTATATGCGTATGTTTGTATAGGTGTTGGTATATATGTTTAGGTTATATACGCATATGTATACATGCATATGTTTATGTATGTATATGTATGTGTATATGTATGTATATGTGTATTTGTATATATGTGCATGTATGTATATATATTTGGTTTGTTTATTTTTACGTTGCTGTGTGGGTTGATATATTTATACTTGCTTCTGTATGTGTATATATACATATCTGTATTCGTATATATATATATATATATATATATATATATATATATATATATATATATGTATGTAGGTATGTGTAGACATATATTTGTGTGTATGTGTATATATGTATATATGTGTGACTGTACACTGATATCTGTGGGCAGTTCTTATTATCTTATTTTCTTTCTCCTATTATATAATAAGGCATATATCGACTTATATGATAAAAATATATATTTTATAGATGTTTATGTATTTGGAATTTTCGTTTTTTATATATTACATAATGTTATTTTTAACCATTTTTATCTATGTATATTTGCCCGTATAAATTATATTTTAATAAGTGGTAAGCAGTCGTTTAATAACACTTTCAGTCTTGAATATTTCTTGGTTGTGATATCAAATTGTCTAGGTCAATGTATGTGGATGTCTGTACATGTATTTATCGGTGTCTGTGTGTATAGAAAATGCATGCCCATTTAATTGTGTATGTATGTATGGGTTCGGTTTTTTTTTTTTTTTTGTAAAGGGCCGTGGAGATGTTTCCTGTCTCGTCACCTTTTTTGTGTGTATATATCTAAATATGTCTGGGTGCTTATGTATTATAATCTGAATGTTTGCATTGTATTACGCGAGAGGTTAGCACCCCACTCACACACTCGGGATTAAAATGTATACATTTTGTCGGGAAGAACAACTGATATTAGCGTCTATTCTAAAGTAATTTCAATCCTTCGCAATTTAAAATTCGTAAATAATTATATAGGCCACACTACAACATGTTTGAAACGCAGACTAACTCTACACCTTTCTGACAATAGCTCAATTAGATCTCATTTCAATATTCACGGAGACCTACTGGGCACTATTCGGAACATACTTGTCGACAACACTAATATAATAGCATACATGCAAAAAAAGACTAAAAATAATGAAAGCCTTATTAATAAAAACAAACCAAGACTTAATAATATTAACTTTGAACATGGACATAATATCTTGACCGTGTTTTGAAACAAAAAAATGAAAACATTTTATAAAACATACATACAACAAACTATTTCTAATTTTAACAGTTAAAATATAATCCTTGAAAATGGCTAAATGTATAGCCGAAAGCGCTCGTATAATAAGAACATTCGGACAGTTTTTATATAATTTATCATCCAAAAAGAAAAAATTTTTTTAGATCGCATGAGAAATTGTATAAAAAACTAAATAAAAGCACCTTGTCTGTCGTTTTCAATGAAATGTGCATGAAAGAAGGATTGATGCCCAAACACACACACACACACACACACACACACACATATATATATATATATATATATATATATATATATAATATTAAAATTTATTTAAATATGATTTTGTATGTGTTTATTGTTATTTTAGTGTTTTGACGTTTCTAATTTACTCGAGTAAAACGACTTAAGGAAAGTTTTATTTTTCCATATAATATTTAAGAAAAACCGACGTATCTTCGAAAATGACTTAAATCGAAACGACTTAACCCGAGGCATGACTGCATTTAGTAAAATTAACTTGGGATGCTGTATGAAGGCCTACAAATTTACAAATCCTGGATTCTACCGGGTCTATAGTCAGAAGCAGGCCATTTCAGATTTTTCATATCTATCACTAACCTCATCAAGCACGTTCACACACTCGCACGGACGCACAGTAGATGTACGCACTAATACTTACAAAATTATCTACACTGCGCTTCTGCCTCCACACACAGGCGCGCACGCGCGGACACACACACACACACACAATTTTCTCTTATCCATAAAATTAACACAATCTACTATTGTTTTCCTTCCAAATATCTAAACCTTACGCAAAGATGCATCATCATTTACTAAGTTTAGGTTAGTTTGGCACAAGGTCACAAATATGAAGCACCGAGTGAGGCTCGTAATCACTGCTCAATAGTCAGCCATATTAAATTTCCACATTTCCCCTACCCTTACATATATAAATTATGCTAATTAAAATTTGCTATATTTGACCGGGGAGGCTCACTATCGAGGATAGAGTTTATGTGCATGCAAATCATGTGGACATAGAAATCAATACTGCATGGCAACTGGCAGTTTTACGCTTTAAGCGAACATCAGTCATGTGTTCCTTCTCTTTCTGTAGGCTTTCTATATATACCACTTTTCGTCTTATCTATCTATCGTTAAACCATAAATCAATCATAACTTTACAAAAATTAATATTTTAAGAGAATTTTCCGCCTAGTTTAGCAAAAGGCCACAAGCATATGACTCCCAGTACGGATCAAGCTTACTACATAATAATAATGACTAAACAAATTAGGTCATTAAGTATTACCTAACGCCGAGACGTCCAAAATAGAAGCACCTTGTCTGTCGTTTTCAATGAAATGTGCATAAAAGAAGGATTGCTGCGTAAATACACAAATATATATATATGTATATATATATATAAAAGTCAAAAAGATGGTAGTTACAAATCGGAGATATCAAGATCAAACAATTACAGAAGTTTAAATATCTGTGTTGTGTTTTGACATAAGACGCAGTATGTGACATCACGATCCCACTCTGAGAGATTATCCCTGAGAATCACCACTATGTGAAACAGATACCCGCGAGGCTGCTTCCGCGATCACTACAATCTAGGGTCAAGCGTTCTCTATCCTACACATCCTAATAATATGCGTTTACTTCTTCCTCTATCTTGAGTGGCCCTTGGACCAGGTATTCGGTGAGCATTTAGCACACACACACACACACACACACACACACACACACACACACACACACACACACACACACATATATATATATATATATATATATAATTATTTATTTAAAAATTATATCATAAATATGTTATAAAATCATTACAAAAATAGCCATTTTGTTTCAATACCTCCGGTGTCTTATCAAGTGATGATGTTAAATGTAAAATAAATGGTTTTAAAAGTTTCAAATTAATTGTGTACTTAATCCGTTCACTTTCTCTATGTATGCAGTCGGTTTGCTTTCACTAAATGTTCTAGATTATTCTAATATCAAATAAATCATTTTCCTACTAGTTCAACTAAATCCTTGAATCGTACCTTATGAAATGTTTTTGTATAAAATACGAATCATAAGTAATACATTTGTTATTACTCTGATATCATTCTGATAATAAATATAGCATTTCTTGTTCCAGTGTCTTTGACAAAACTACGCTGGGTCGACTGTTCTTTTTTTTTCTTTTTTTTTTTCTTAAGTGATAATTTTATCTGCGACTTGCTTGACGGGTGATAATTTTCCCTCTCTTTGCAATCTTAATGGAATTGGCGGCATTTTTAACTAAACAATTCTGCGGAAATCTTTTGTTCGCGTTCATTTGTTTATGTATAGTCGACATGTCTTCGTTCAGCTTTAAGTCGTCTTATCGAATCTGGGAGATACGGGGGCGTGCGAATGAAAGAAAACGATTTGGAATGATGAAGAAGAAAAGATGGAGAAAGAAAAAAAAGGAACAAATAAAGAATTAATTAGAGAGAGAGAGAAAGAGGGAGATGGAGGGATGGAGGTGTCACGCTATGCAGATTAAGAGTAGTAATAGAAAAAGTAATAAAATGAGAGAGAGAGAGGAGGGAAGAGAGAGAAAGGGGAAAGAAAGAGAGTGAACACGGAGAGGGAATAGGCCACGCTAGAAAGACTAAGGAAAAAGAATATATGAAAAGATATAGAGAGAGGAGTAAAATAGAGAGAGGGTCGTGTTATAAAGATTTAGAGTGGTAATAAGGAAAAAGAATAAAGAAAGAAAGAAAGAAAAAGAAAAAGAAAGAAAGAAAGAAAGAAAGAAAGAAAGATAAGTAGGGGAGAGAGTGAACTCCGGGAGAAAGAGGTCATGACAGAAAGACTAATAATCTAATAGGAAAAATGAAGAAACGAAAAGAGAAAGAGAGAAAACTTTTTTTAGACATCGATTTTCAACGATGGAATGAGTGAGGGAGACAGAAAAGAGCGCCCCCGCCAAAAAAAGGGGGATGTTAAAGAACGCCCCAAACAATAAATGACAAAAGAAGGGAATATAAGTTTATATTCTATGATGACATTTATGGGATGGAGCAGCCATTGTTGATATTTATCCATCGAACGATTATTATATAGAATTAATGGACATTTTTCTTGGTATAATCAACCTCCAGGAATTCAAATTGAACAAGGATTATCCTCAAGGATTATCACTTTTCAGAGATATTTGTATTTCCCTTAATCCATCAATTAAAAAGAGCTGGTTTTTCCTACATCACTGGAGAAGCCATTTCAAACGGATCCCAAATACCGTTAGAATTATTAGGTGGATAAAGTATTAACGTATGGGAACATATTATTATTATCATTATTATTATTATTATTAAAACTATCCGTGAAAATTTCACGATTTTCCTATTTGAATTTTCAGATGTAGGTTAATGATTGAATAAATTCATGGTGCGTTTCATGTCTACAAATAACCATGAAAATTCCAATATTGCCTCGTTAAATATTTGAGCTTAACAACTTAACAAAATATTGCAATAATAGTCATAAATATAAATAATTTTTAAAGAGGGTACAAATGAAAACATTCAGAATTGTCAAAGTTTTCCATTTCACTGAAGCAGACGGTAAATGCATGAAAGTGTTATCACCTTGTTTCCTTTCTTTATTTCCCTAAGACCAAACTGTATTTTCCCTTCCGTTTTGCAGTCAGGGAACACGCAAGCTATTACAGGCCTATCATCGCAATTAAACATGAATGACCCATTGTTTATCTGAGATAATGACAGCTAATAATGTACATACTAAGGAATGAAGGATTGATTTGATTTTTACGGTTTATCAACCAGAAAATATATTTAGATTGTAAGAATTTTTTTTTTAAAGATAATAATGATTTATTGATAATTGCTACTAATTAACCCATAACTGGGGGGAGCGGTGGATTCATACCTTTCCAAAGGCTATTTGCACGTAAGTGAATATAACGAACCCCACTGGAATTAGAACTCTGCACTCCGACTTCCAATTCCGAGCCGTTATCCATTACACCATCCGAAAATTCAATCTTAAAACACCTGCCATTCCCAAGCGGTCACGCATCTAGGTACTGACGAGACTCGACGTTGCTTAACTTGAAGTAAGAAACAAGCCGAACTATATTATTAATTCTTATCAGACGGGATGACCGTATCAATGAAGACATAGATGCAACCTTAAAGATGGGCATACAGTCTTTCTGATAAGGCATTTAAATAAAATAATTTTACTATTCCAACAAGAATAGGCACACCAAGAATATTACTAAATACAGGAAGAGAATCCAAAAAACTCACTGAGACACGAACGATTGTGCACTGCTCACATATTCAGAACAATTGTTTCAGGGTAATTAGCTTAATAATTTTCTAAGATAACCTTTCCTTTATCTCAGGTCTTAGTAATGGATTGAATCAAACAAATAAACAGGAAAACTGGAAACAACAACAACAACAACAACAATAATAATAATAATAATAACTAGAAAGACCCGTGGAAATGTCACAGTTTCTTGTATTTTAAATTTCTGATGAATCTTAAGTCTTCACTTAACGAATGAATAGACTAATGGCGAGCCCTAAGACAATCAAATATCCGTAGAAATTCCCCTGTCGTATCGTTAATATTTGAGCTTAACAACTTTAACAAAATACTGCAATAACAATCATAAATATGAATGCTGGTCGTTATTTTAAGAAGTAAGGGGGTACAAATGATAAGATTTGAAAATGACAAACTTTTTCCATTTCACTGAAACAGCCATGAAAGACTTCCATCATCGCTTCTTTCTTTCGTGTGTGTTTCGTATTTCTTCGCAATCAAAACGGAATTGTCCATTATCCATTACTTATGAGATATCAACAGGAGATGTTAAATACTTCTATCTTCTCTTCTTCTTTTATTTGTTTCTTTCTAGCCAATCCCCGTCCTACGAACATTTTTCTTCTTCTTTTTCTTCTTCTTCTTCTTCTTAATAATAATAATAATAATAATATATATATATATATATATATATATATATATATACAATGTTGTGTATATTTAGGCAGCAATTTTTCATTGATGCATGTTTCATTAAATAATATAGACAAGTTTTGTCTATTTATTTTAAGTAAGTTCATTTCGTATTGTCTGATAAGTTTAATCACATTATCATTGAAAGACGAAAAGAAATCACCTTATTGATACATGTTTAAATCCTATCTAAGCTTACTTAAATTAAATAGACAAAACTTGTTTATATTATTTAATGAAACATGCATCAATATATATATATATATATATATATATATATATATATATATATATATATATATATATATTACGTTTTATTTATACGATTTACGTGTACCAATTGAGCAGCAGTGTACAAAATAACGATGACCCAGCCGGTGCCGTGCAAACTTAGTCCCGTTGACGCGTACTGATATCGCTATCAAAGAGGGTTCGTTTATATAGTACGCCACATATATCTTCAAGAATGCTTTGTTTATTTTTAAAATTTAATTTTGAACTTTAAAAATTATGATTAAAATCAGAGGTGAGGGAAACAATTATTGTATTAATTCATTTGTCATCGAAAGAGTTTTTTTTTATTTTATTAACACTACATTCTTCATTTATAATATTTATGACAGCAATTAAAAGCTCATAAAATTAAATAATTAAATAGTTTTAGTGCAATTTTTATTTTACGATTCGGAGCATATCTTGTGCAATTTGCTATTAGCTTGAAAAATAAAATTAAATTAAAAGAAAATATCTGATGATACGTTTCTCTTGTTAAGACAAGAAGTCAGCAGACTCTGAAATTACAGATTGAATCTACGGACTGTCAAGGATTATTCAGACCTTCCAAAGTAAGGTTTTACAGTGAACTATTTTGGTTGTAAATATGTAACATTTATGAGGATAACATGCGAATATCTTTCCTTGGGTGTTTATAAATTGTAAACTGTTCAGTTATTAACGTTAACAAGGAACTATTTTAAATTCCAAAATTGTTCTTGAATTAAACGAAAATTATTTACACCATAATACATATTACTTATAATACATTCCTTCTTTCTGTTAATTTTTGGTGGCGAACTAGTTTAAAAATAATTCAGCAGACGATATTATTTTATTTATGGTAACAGGATTTTTGCCGATTGCCTTATTCGGTTTTCGTTGTTCGTTACTGTGTTTCTGAAAACTGCCATTTTTATCTCAACCCACAACGCTTCTTGGTTTTTTGGCTCGGGAAGGTTCAAGTAATTTTAAGCCCAAAGCCTAGAATGCCTTTCCCACCAGGCAGTACTTCTCCTTCAAGAAGGGACTGGGTTTATTGCCTGGCGCTTGAGGCGTCACCAAAAGAGGGACTGCTGAAGGGGGTTTGGGCAATTTTTCCATGGTATTGCCGGTAAATCCACTGACTTTGTCACATTCTCTTGTATGACAGTGAATGCTGGACGATCACTTGAGGCAACAGACATATGGTTCTACAGAAGGATGCTGAGAATGCTATAGATAAAGCAGGTGAACAACGAGGAAAATGGAAAAAAAGGACACTTAGAATCAAAAAGAGACAACTGAAATTTATAGGACGCATAATGAGGAAAAAAGGGGTTGGAGAATTTGACACTCACAGGACGTACTGAAGACAAGAGGGACAGGATGAAATAGAGAGTAATTTACCTAACAAGCTTGTTTGGATGGCTGGCAGGTTTAGGGATTCGGGAAGTACTGTAGGAAAAGACATTGCTAAGAGCTGAATAATATAGGTAGTTGTGGAGAGCCATGAATGACTACGAACTGAAGAGACACGGCACGTAAAAGGAAAAGATGCGTTCCACATACCCTAGATAGAAATTAAGCAACATAGTCTTGTCAGTGGATGAATGAGGGAAACGTTGAAAATTTTACATGCTGTAAATAATTAAACACTTTTTGGATTCGTGGGGAACATCTGTTCTTTGTTTAAAACAGACTGGCACAAGGCCACAAGTATAGAGAACCAGTTAAAGATAGATATGTTTTGATTTGTTTGTTTAATGGCATATCAACTCCTTGTGGGTCATTTAATGCCTAAATTAAATTTTCTTGGAAGCTTTGAATTAATAAAAATATGATACGTTATTCTGCTTTCACAGTTGAATACATGGTAGATGATACTCAGCTTTTGTCCCTATATATGTTTGTGTGGACATAATTACTAGAGGCGGTGATATGTGTGTTTTATGTTGTAGTTTTATTGAAGTTATATTTTCGAATACAGTTTGATTTGATGGATTAATGTCATGAAAGAATTCTTTCATGTTGATAGTTTGGTTGATCTTTGTTTAGCGCCATATCAACCTCTATGGTTTATTTAATGCTGAAACCCAAATACTCCGAACACAACTCCACGGCTTCAACTAAATATAATTTGAACGTAATTGTATTCCTTCAAATACAGATAAAATGTATTGTTAGTCATTTTGCTATAAAAAGTATTGTCGGTCATTTTATATAATAATATATCACTGATATTTTTACTATAAAGATTTTTATTCTTTCATAATGTTTTGTTTTGGGGTTAACTATTTTCTCATAGCTGGGTCCCTAACAGGTGCTACCACCCCGGGTCAAAGTGGACATAGGAAC